AGGAAGAGGAGGAAGAGGAAGGCTTTGGGGTCTTGCAGGTGGCCCGACCCACCCTCCTGAGCTGCTTGAGTGGCCAGGTGGCCTGTCCCCTACCCTCACCACCTAAGCCTTCACGGGCAACTCACACTCGGTTATTTTTACTCCTGTATTTACCAGGGCGAGAAAAACCGTTCACACCCTTTTTTGCAAACACTGCAAACGAAAACGTGACACTCGGGAAACCGCCGGCGATTCATTTTAGAACACACCCAGCGAGGGATCTTGACTCAGATCTGGGACGCAAAACACACACAGATAATGTTTTCTGTCCCCTTCTGAATTTCCTAAATCCCGTTCTGACTCGGTGGGACCCCACCCTGCAAAAAAAAAAAAACAAAAAAAAACCCATCCCGCGTCACTTGCCACCCACAAACGTTCCCTGGAGACTTCCTCTTCTTGCATATCCTGGCGGCGTTTAAAAAAATAAATGAAAATCCGTCTTTGTGACAGCTTCCCTCAAATATTTGCAAATAATTAATGCGCTGTTAAGCAGCGCGGGATGGATGCTTTATAGTTTGGGGAAGACAGAGGAAGCTTCTCTGGTCCCAGCAAATGCACTGGTTGTTCTGTGTGAGCTGCAGGCAGGGGAAGGATGTTTCCAGATGCAAGAGGCCCGGCCTCCCTGCCTCCTCCCCTGCTTCCCGGAGTCCTCCTCGCCCTCCCCTCTCCAGGCAGCCTTGGCCCAGGGGTTTCCAGGGAGTCACCGAGAACAGCTGCGAGACCCAGGGACCGCGTGAACGCCCGCCGTGGTTTTCCCCCTGCTGCATTTAGAATGTTGCAGAAAATTCCGTCTGCTGGAGTTTCCACCTGTCCAGATGTGGCCTGCATCTTCTCTCCTGGTGATGCCCAAATTCTCCTGGTGGCTCTGCCGGGTGGCTTCCCAACGACAACCCTGTCCTCCTGCCTACATGTCTCCCCCCCCCCGCCCCGCCCCAGCTCCGAATGTCCAAGGGACTCACGACAGAGCAGGAGGAGCTCACTGCCCTGTTGCTCCTTCTTGCAAAACAGTCCAGGGTCCGGCTAAATTGCTGCAGCACGATCTCTGCCTGAACAGGACACAGGCAGGTGACTGACGTCTGTATGAGTGACAAA